TTCCTTATTTTTCCCATCAATTTCATTTTCTATTATTATTATTATTATTATAATTATTATTATTATTATTATTATTATAATTATTATTATTATTATTATTATTATAATTCTATATTTCTTATTTGTGTTATCTTTATTATTACATTTTCTCATATTTTCCTTAATCATTCTTCACTTCTTATTTCACTTCTTATTTACTTTTTCATTGCATTCTTTTACCAATTTTATGATTCTTCTATATCCTCTTGAATGTTTATGTTTTGTTTGCCTTTTTTATTAAAACTAATGATGTTATTTAGTAATAATGATAATATAATTTGTTAGATTCTTTGTAGTGAAAAAGGTTTATGAATTGTATTAAAAATAAGAAAATAAAATTACAATATATATTTGGTATTTATTATTTTAGTTTGAATAAAAAATGTCTAAACTAAATGAACAACAAGTTGAAAAATTGTTCGTTATATAAACTTAAACATAAAATGAGAATAACTATAATAAAACTATCATTAGTTAAACAAATAACATAACCATCATTCCAATAAGAGAGAGAATAGTTAATGATGCACCATCTATGTTATGGTTTGAACTATCTTCTGAATAACTTTTTGATTCTTCCTCAGAGGGACTCATTGATTTTTCATCTGATTGATTCATAGAACTATCTTCTTGGTTGTTAGATGCTTCTGAGTGATCATTTGATTTTTCATCTGTTGGGTTTATAGTTTTATTTTCACATTTGTGTATAATACCATTTTCACATAATCCACATTCCCATAACTTTATAGCGTCAACTCTTTTTTGTTCATCGCATTTCTCAGTCGAATAAAATTTGTGATACATCGACCCATTCTCTACTTTTAACATAGAATAAACTGTTGAGTTTTTATCATATTTAGCACATGTGTTTGTTAAATATGTTGCATAGATATTGTTATGGTTAGAACACTGATCATCATCTTCAACAAAACTAATATATCCAATATAATATGGTTTTTCTTTAATTTCAATACTACAATTTGCTTCTTGATTACAGAACTTTCTTATTTCTTTATCATTAATATCAACAAAAGTTTCATTTTTGTTTCCAGTACATGTTGACGATGAAGTGTAATGTGAAATTGTAATATTATTACCCCTATGAGTATAATAATCTGAACTTCTTGTTCCAGTATAATAACATTTACCAAATTCAATATTTTTAAATGTAATAGTATGTCCATCAGAACTCTTCAATGTTGTAATGATTATTGATTCAGACATTACAAAACTAATTAATAATCCAATAAATATTATATTCATTACTTGTGTTTCTCTTTTATCTGTTTCATTTAAATATTATTAATTTATTCTTACTTTCTCTATTTTTATTATTTACCTATATTATTTTTCATGAGCTCCATTCATTTTATTAACATTTTCTTTGGTAGTTAATATATTTATTTGAAAGAAGCATTTAAATTGTTTCTTTTTTTATAAAAAATATTTACTTGGTTTTAATATTTTTCGACTTCTTTCATATATTTGACGTTCTTTTTTATTTATTATTCTTTATAACATTTTGTATTGATTTACTCTTTCTTTTTTTTCTTGAAATATTTTCTTCAATTAAATTCATCTAACTTAGTTCTTAATCTATGTTAAACTTTAATAAATAAATAAAATATTATATTTTCATGTAATTTATTTGGTATTGTTTATTTTATAAAACAAATAATATATTGAAAAAAAATCATTTTATCTACTCTAATTTGTTTTGAGTTATTTTAAATTGATGTTTTAACATAATCAAAAGGTGTTAATAAATTCATTACTTTAATCACTTTCATTTACTCTAATTTATTGTTTAAAGTTTATAACATTAATTAATAGATATTGTTCGTTTCAATTATATCTTGTTATTTTGTTTTTTAATATGTTATTTTGAGTTATTGATTTATTATATGTATATTTATTACTCTGTTATATTTTTATATTTGAGAATATTTTCAAGTCATTATAAAATTATTGAAAATTAATTAACAAGAATATTTTAATTACTATTAAATAATAATGAATGTTTATAATTTAACTTATTTCTTTATTAATTTAATTTTATTTGAAAGAATAAAGAATAACGAAATTAATAATAATGAATTAATCATTACAATTTATTATGTTATATTTCTTATTCTTCTTATTTATTATTATTTTATTGTTCTTTATTATGTTATTATTATTATTATTATTATTTTATTCTTTAGTTAATATATTTCATTTTTCTTTTAATTATTTATTTACATCATCTTTTCTTTTAATCTTTCTTATTTACTTTTTTATTATTTAAGTTGAATAACACTTTTAAGTTGTTTTAATTTATACTAATTCTTATTTATTTTATTATTCATTTCATTGTTCATTCTTTATTTGTACTTATTTATTTATATATGTTTGTTATTTGATTGATATTTTAATTTATTATTTTCTTTTTTATTTATTCTTATTTTATGTATTTTCTTTATTTCATTTTCTATATTATTTATCTTTTGTTTGTGATTGAAATATATTGTATTTGTGTTAAATTAATTCAATATTTCATTTAAATGTAATCAATTCTTATTGTTAATCTCAATTTTAATTTTATTGATTTTTGATTACTTGATAATTGATGTAATGAAGATAATATTCAATTTTACACAACTTAATGAAATTATAACATCATATTGAATTATCTTCTGTGAATATGTCAATTACATCATCATTGAATTGTTTCAATAAACTCACTCATTTCTCTTGTTCTTTTTGTTTATTTATATTATTTGTGTTGTTTATTTAAAAAGAATTGAATTAGTGATTTTCAATGATGTAGTCAATGTTTATGCATACATTATCATTGTACTGATAATGTCACTATATCAATTATTAATACTTTCCTATTTTTTTTATAAAATATCATATTTAACAAACAACATTTCTCTTTCCTTGTTCATTCAACTTTTAGTTATCATCATAATACTATACTAATATTATAATGTATATCTTCTATCATTTAAACTTGTTTTATTATTTATTCATATTATTTCTTTGTTTTTCCTTCAAATTTCTTGTTACTCATTTCTTTCTGATAAAATTCATCTTTATCATTTCTTCAAATTATTTTATTATCAAACATTTATGACTGTTTTGTATGTTGTGGTTATTTCATATTTTGAGAGTGATTGCTATTATGTTCTTTTTTATGATTTATCATGTTCTTATCAACTAAAAAATAAAAAATCATCAATGAATTTTAATTTGAATAATGACTTATCTTTCTTCTCTTTCTCAATTGTAATATTTTCTTCATTGTTTGATTTATTTTATATCATGTTTTCTATCTAAATTGTATTATATTTGAGAAATTAAATGATGAAATACACAATGTGATATAATTAATTTGTTTATTTCTTTTTATTCTATTCTATCATATTTACTTAGGATCCATCATTTTTGATATTTAAATAATCATAAACTCTTATAACATATCTCATTCTCTCTTTATGATCATTATTCATCAGTAAATTCATTCATACATTTCATAGTATTATCAATGATAATTCATTCATATCATATTATTTTTACAATTCAAATAATTGATAATACTCAAGA